ACTGGTAAAAGAAAAAATTTAATTAAAATAAAATATAGTATTTATATTCAAAAGTTATAAAAAAATATAAATTCCTAAAAAAAAGATTAAACAATCTTTACAAATTTCATTTTCTATCTCCCATTTATATACTAATTAAAAAACAAAAAAAGTCAGTCAATTTCCGTAAACTTCACACTTCCCCTGCAAACGGGTCGTTTAAAAAAGCCCATGGTGGGCGCTGCAATTAAAGATAATTTCATTTCATTAATGGGAGACGAAGAAAATAAATGAAAGGAAAGAGGAGAAGATTGAGGAATCAGAGTCTTCTCTTTTCCAGGATCATTAATTAGAGCCACTAGTACTGGGTCTTCGTCAATAAGCAAGAACATCCAATGTCCTGCCCGTTTTTGAAAAAAACAGTCTAACGAATTAAGAGACGATTTCCTTTCGTTTTTCCATTAATCTCAGATCAGCCTCTCCTCTGTTCCAAGCTTCTGTGTCCTTCCTTTCCAGTGCTCAAGTTTCAGTCTAAAAGTAAAAGGTAAGCTCCTCATCTCTTCCATCTCTGGTTTTTAATTGATTTTCTTTGGTTCAGTTTCTTCATCTAAAATTTACTTACTCTTTCTCTGTTTCTTCTCAGAGTTTAATTACCACTCACTTCCAGCAGGCTGCAATTTTGCATGCACTTTCAATTTTGAGCATTTAAAAAAAAAAAAAATCAAAGCTAGGAAGCAAATTAAGGTACGCAACATTAAATACTTCTTAATCCTATATTTGCTTTTTTTATTACTATTATTTTATGTTTTTAAATATGAAAAATATATCGAAAATCTAAGTGCATGTTCTTAGTTCTGTTTTTAAATAATTTTCAAATGTTTAAATGTTAACAAATCTTTATATTTTTAGATTGAAAATTTATGAATAATGATATAGAGATAATTTTTTTTATAATTTTTTAATATAATTTTTACATATCAATAAATAAATAAAAATATATGATATTATAAATTTCAAATAAATAAAAAATAATCAATAATTTAAATAACATGTAAAATTATGTAAAAAAATTATTTATATATCATTTTCAAAATTTAACCAAATTAACTAAAATAATGTTAACAAAATAAAAAATAAATAAAGAGAGTTACAAGTATTCATAGAGTCGAAGGCTGGATACTTTGGTCCTCCAAATTCTTAAACTAAGGACTCATTTAATGGACCTTTTGTTTTCCTCTTTTTTTTATATATAATTTTTAGTAACTAATACACTACGTACTAATAATTTAGCAATATTTTTATTTTTTATTTTTATTTTTTAATTATCATATATACTAAACATACCTTTAATTGGGTTTTTCATTTTTTTTTTTTAGTACATGCTCTAACGCTCTATTATTATCTACACAGACTGGTCTTTGATCCATAATGCAAAACAAGAACAATTAAATGAAGGAACAGCCTCCATCCAAAGATCCTAGTTGCGTGGTCCGGTCATAATACGTTTTTGATTTGAAAAAGGTATGTTCATCCACCATACAAAAAGTTTGTCTTGAAAGGCAAAATATGCTAAGATGCTAGTCGGATTCAACGGTGGCTCAGTTTTTCTTTTAGTAATATACTAATATTTCGTTTCCTTTTCGCCTTCTTTTAGAAAAGCAAAAGATGCTCTAAAGTTTAAACTAGTGTATTTACTTTCTTGCAAATTATGGGGGCCTCCAAAGGTCCATGGCGTGTAATGCTCAAGTGAGTCAATAAAAACATCAGAAATTTCCACTAAACTTCACACTTCCCCTGCAAATGGGTCCTCCAAATAAAACTATGGTGAGCCCTGCAAAGGAAGACAATTTTCATTTCATTAGTGGGAAATGAAGATAATACATGTGAGGAAAGAGGAAAACAATCAGAAATCACAATCTTCTCTTTTTCAGGATCAATAATTAGAGCCACTAGCATCAGAAAGCAAAAGCATCAAATGCTCTGCCCATTTTGGAAAAAACAGCCTAACAAATT